GGGTACATTGTACTATAATTATACTAAGGAGCCCCCCAAATACTACAGGTAACTATGAAGGCCCCTATATTAGGCTCTTATTGTCAAACCTCATCGACCTAAACCCTAAACCCCTAAACCCCTAAACCCCTAAACCCCTAAACCCTAAACCCTAAACCCTATAGTAAGGACCCGGCCCGAGGGTGATGAGCATGTAGACCAGAGGGAGGCCAGCGAGGTCTCTGCGCATCAACATGGCGTAGATGATCACTGCGAAGCCTCTGATTTAGGGCTTAGGGTTTAGGGTTTAGGGTAGATGATCACTGCGAAGCCTTGGATTTTAGGGCTTCGGTTTGGGGTTTCACTAGGGTTTAGGGCTAGGGCTTAGGGCTGATCGCTGCGAAGCCTTGGATTTAGGACTTTGGTTTGGGTTTCATTAGGGTTTAGGGCTTAGGGGATCATCGCTGCGAGGCCTTGGATTTAGGGCTTCGGTCTGGGTTTCATTTGGGTTTAAGGCTTCGCTGCGGGAGGCTTAGCTTCGTAGGGCTTAAGACTTAGGTGTAGGTAATTTTTAGGGCTTGGGTTTAGGGTGTAGGGTCTATGGTCTAGGGGTTTAGGGCAGATGTAGAAGTTGGGGGTCATCTGTTCGAGGCAGGTCGTGATTCTAGAAGCCATGAGATCAAGGCAGATTTCGAACTTGGATGTCTGCTGAGTTCCATCCCTTTAGGGCTTTAGGGTTTAGGGTCTCCAGGGGGTTTATGGAGACATAATATACTAAAAGCAGCTAGAAAGAGAACAACTTACTTGCTGCCATGCATAGAGTCTGGAAACTACACCCGGTTGATCCGCTGAATAAAATGCCTCAGCAGTGGGCAAACCCGAACTCTGCTGGTGAAAGACCCTAAGCCCTAGACCGCAATGACGATTCTTCGGATAGGTTTTGCATGGTATACACCAGATAGATGATGGACAGAAAACTAGAACCCTAAACCCTAAACTCTAAACCCTAAACCCTAAACTCTAAACCCTAAAAATAATAGGGGCCTTAACCAATAGATTAACGGTTTGGGGGTTTGCTCTGGTTGGTCCTGACTAAAGCCAGGAAAGAATCGCTCCCCAAGGGTTTCTATATTAGGAAATGAAATTATTAATTACTGTTGTGAATCATATGATTTAGGGAGAAATCCAGAACAGTTTCTATATCAGGAACTAATATTCTTACTATTCTCAATATCATGGTTTAGGGAAGTAATCCCCATAAGAGTACATAGGACCCTTTAGGCCTTACGAAGCCTTCTAAAGAACCCCGAGGGCTCGCGGCAGGCGGCGAGTAAGGAGCAGGATGAAACACCAGGAGTAAGATAGCACCCGCCTCAGCTCGACGCAAAAAACTCTCGGGTTTAGAGTTTGGGGTTTTAGGGTTTTAGGGTTTAGGGTTCAGGGTTTTTTTGTTGTTAAGGGCCCTTTTGGGGTTTAGGTCTAGGGTTTGGTTGAGGGTTTAGGGTGTAGGGTTTGGGGTCTCGGGTAGGTTGTGGGGCTTATGGGAGTCAGCTTGCGAGTTAGCCCTAGACGCCGAGTTACCTACGTACTATCACGTAGTATCAGTAATGGGGTTCAGGGCTTAAGGCTTCAGGGTACTATAGGGGCCCTAATAATTCGAACAGGGTGT